TTCCAATCTGTGCCTCTCATTTAACATTCAGTGTCTTGGTGTCAGAGAGAGAAAGTCTCCGTTCTGTGTGTGTGTGTGTGTGTGTGTGTGTGTGTGTGTGTGTGTGCACTTTGAGTTGTCAGTGCTGATTTCCCTTGTGTAAAGGACAGATTTGGCTTGAAGGCCCGTGGGATTGTGGGCAATCGAGCTGTTAGCTTCTGTAGTTAGAAAGACCGTCAGTCAAATGGTTAAATAAAACCTGAGCTACAGCTACTACTACTGCTGCTCCTCCTGTTCTAAGCCTGATACTTCTTTGAGAAGCAGGAAAATAATATTTTGATGTTTTTTGGTGGATTTTTAAAAAAATTTTATTTGATTAAGCCTCTTTTGATTGAAGGTTTCACAATGCGTAAAATGATGCTGGCTGGATCTACATTTCTTGCTGGGTTGTTGGCAAATCAGAATGCGGTCGGTCAATATCCCTAAAGTTACACATTTCTAAGGAAGATGGGCCCTTGTGGACTTCTTACATTTAGTTTGATTAGGAAATGTCATCAGTTAATCATGGACTGTATTGTCATCTGCAGCTAATGTGAATTCTCAGCAGAATATGACATCCTGTGAACCTACTGTCTGATTTTTCACTGTCTATTTTTAACCAGCAACAAAAGTTGTCCAGGTCAAAATAAAATATTGGGCATATGTGTGTCAAAGATGTATTTAAATATGTTAATGACATTGACTCATCTTTAACATTGAGCTTAAGTATAATAAAGTAACTCCTATTTTGTACTTGACAATAAAGGCAGTTCACTGTATCCCTGAACATTAAACTACCAATTGTACACATTCAGAGATAAACAAATTGGATCCATCAAATATTTTCTTTCTATTGAATTTAAACCTATTTGTGTACCTCTTAAGCTGGCTGAGTCATCCTGGAGGAAGGGCTTCGAATTTTTTTCTACTCTCGTCTGCTTTCTAGGAAAGGTATAGTCTCTCTTTTATTCGATGTTTAGTGTCTGCAGACATTATACTTTGGTGAAACAGAGGCTAGTCAGAGCAGGGCTAAGACAAAAGTCGACTTGTGCCATGTCAGAGCAGCTTCAATATAAAAAATGTCTGCAAAAGTGTCATACTTCATTCAAATCACCCCGAGTACACCATGAAGAGCTTTCAGCATTAATTAGTTGGATGCTTTTTTTTTAAAAAAAAAAAAAAAGAACCTTTAAACTGCCATTGCTTATTAGAGAATGATTTCCATGGAATAAAATGGAGTAGTTTTAACAGTAGAAACCTGCTTTTGCCTTTCCTGAATAGCAATTAGATTGAACACGACTTTCTGCTGGTGTTGGTGTCTCTGCTCGTTAAGTACTAACCTGTCTCGATCTTTCATATGATCCCTATTCGATTATAAAAGTTCTGCTGTGATTAGATTTTAGATAAGTTCACGAACATATGACAGAGATTGTACCTGCAATGTTTGATCTGTAAAACAATTTGCTTGAATTGAGTTGCACATTATACGAATGAACAACGGCGCCGCCTGTGCCTCAGCCAGTAAATATGTCCGAATGCGCTCAGTCGGAGGTCTGAGAAACTCAAGACAACTAATAGAAGCGACAATCCTTTGACTGCTGTGAAAAGCTGCATCCAGTAAATGTCCCACGCCAGTGAGTGATCGCAGACGAAAACAAATTTAGTCATACTTTCCAAAGTGCTTTTGTTCTGCGTGTTTTTCCTGCTGGATAACTCCTGAGCAGCTGTTACACAGAAAACACATCAAATAGACGGAGCCAATATGTCTGTGTTTAATTCCTGAATATGAAAACTATGGTGATTCTCATTACACTCAGATGAAACCAGAAAACACTGAATTTAATGAGTCAGAAGCTTATTTGTCCTCACCGTGAAGTCAAAGCAAACTTTTCTATAGTTATTTTTGAATGTCCATTTCTGATTTTGAGGAAAGTAATTAATCCTAACTGATCTTCAACAAGAACAATTAGTCAGTGAGAAAACAAAGGTCATGTTTGGTCAAAAACCCTTCTTGGTCAGATCTTATTTGAGTAATCCGCTCTACCTCCATTATGTCCTTTACGCCCCACCTTACTGCTTCAGATTCCTTCTCTTGCTCTGCCTCTGTGTCTCCCAAGCAAAGGAAAACACATTGATTGTATTTCCCTTATGGGATATGTTGGGGCACGCGGAGTGGGTTGATTTGGGTCATGTTGTGACGCTTGCTTCAGTACTTATTTGATTCAGCGGCTCTTCTGTTGCTCAGTCCATCCCAACCACCTGGAGATTCCCAAATCAAAGCCATGAATCATTCTTTTCATATCCAAGACTGTTTTTGAAGGCTGTGGATACAATGTGTGTTGCTTCATCCTTCTCTGGGTAAAATGCGCTTAAGTAAAGGCAGCAAAAAGTGAAAAATAAATGAGCAGGGGAATATAGCGAAGCTAAACCTTTGGATTCTTTCAACTTTAGAACTCAAAAGAACATATATATATATAGCGTTATTTTTAGTTAACAAAATAACGTGAACTTAAATTTTACAGTTTTAGTCTATGAAAGGGCTCAACCAATAGCTCGTACTTTCATGCACATTTTTGAGATTCACAACAGCACAAAGCACATATATATCAATGCTTAAATGGGTATTATCTTGTAATCTGCTATATCTATCATCCTTTTCCTTTCTGTATGCTTTATTTCTCAGAAAAATAACTGCCACCGGTTTCCTGTGGTTATTCTTTATCCTGGAGAACAACAATAATTGAGACAAAGTCAACGTTCTTGCATACAGTCCTGCTGTAAAGAGGAAGAAGCAGAATTAGATCAGTGGAGATTTGATCAGGGTGCCGGTGACACAGTTGTTGCCATTTTCATCATTCCTTCTCGGGGGTCCTGCCTGCAGCATGTCGGTGTTTAGACAAGCCAAAAGACAGGAAATGGATGTGACAACAGGCTCCAGCTGTGCCAGGCATTTTTCTCGTCACTTTGGGGGGAACCAGCGTTTTCCTCTTGTGACGAGTGTCATGAGATGTGTTGTGGTTGGCTGAAAAAAGATCCTCGTACAGATTAGATTTTATGATGTTCTGGTAAATATCTGTGGCACAGTGTTGGTTTCCCTACGTTGCTTTCCAACCCCTTTGAGCTCTGATCAGTAATTATTGAAATTTGATTGTCAAAATCTTTGATAATTGGTTGTTGTTGTTTCAGTAACTGAGCTGAATCCGAGGGTTTCCACCTCTCTTTGTCCCTCTCCCTTTTTCGTCTTGACAGTTAATCCAGGCAGTGGTTAAACACTCCTCTGAGAAATGAGATACAGTGCATACAATAGGATAGAATAGAATTATCCTTTATTTGTGGAGAGAATTAAAGTGTCAGCAGCAACGTGACAGGCAAGTGGAAGCCCACAGTTACATGTAAAATAATAAAATAACCAATAATATTAAAGACAAAGTAGAAATTGTACAATAATCGTACATTAAGTGGTGAGAAAATGGTACAATTATGAATAAAAGTAGGTGTAAATTATTTATAACAAACGTATTAGTCCATTAAGATGTTAAAACTGCACATCTGGTATCTAATTAGTTCTTCAGTTTGCCAGCTGCTGGGAGAAACAACCTATGATATCTTAAGTTGCACATTATAGATGAAGCATCCTTTCGCTGTAGGAGGTTTTCAGTGCTATCATGGTCTTATGCACGGGCTGGAAAACATATTCAAAGTGATGCTATTTAGCCAGAGTTCTCCTGTTTGGCGCCACCTGCACTGGGTTGAGAGGGCTTACAAGGTCAGAGGTGGTGTTTCCTCTCAGCAGCTTATAAGATTTTTCAGCAGAAAAACTCATACAAATATATACATTTTTATGTGTATACGTTTATTTTGATAAGACGCTGCCAATATGCGTTTGACCATAATACTGTATGATGTTTTAGAATGACTAGCTTACTTTAATTTAATCCTCAAATATGCATAACAGCATATAATGGTGATTAGTCTGACTGCAAGTATACCAGTGCATGTCGACCTTCATTATGCTTTTTATTTTTCAGCTGGCCATGATTTGATAATTAACGTTATTGTCTAAGACGCTAAGTACCTTTAATATGAGTCTGTTTTTGTTGAAAACTGCATTTCATTTCAGGTGAATAACAACAGATGGATGTTGGATATCTCATCCATTCCTTCAGGTTTACTAACCTGATATTCTGCAGGATATTTATATGCAAGAAAAAAAACTTGGCTGATTGATTTTTAGTGATATGTTGCAGAGAACTGCAGTTTTAGCCTGTAAAAGGTGCTTCAAGAGTAAGAAGTGTTAGGTGCATGAATAAACTCTTAAGTGACTATTTCTGCGTTTGCATTTATCGCTATTTATAGTCATAGACTGAAACTAAATATGTTGTCGTTGGTTATACATTTGCTTTTCTGTCTATTGTGGTATGTAGGTTTCATTAAGACTGCAGAAGGTTAGGGAAATTATTATTGGTAAACATTGCAATGACATCAATTGTGAATAAGCCTGTTTTCTACTATCACGATGTTCTTATACTGAGCTTTATCTTCTCAGTCAAAATCTTTAAAAGACAATATCATGAAGGCCAACGAGAATCCATCCAACTGGTAAAACATATAGACTCCCTGATTGTGAAGGAAATAATATGCATTTCCTTCTACATATTATAATGATGATATTATAATGATGATTGAGACTTACTACATTGTGCAGGCCTGGTTTTTCTTCCATGCATAAGTGGTTTCATTAGCCACCAAATGGAAATCGGTTATTCCTTTTATAGGATTTTTGTTGGTTTTAGGCTGCTTTTTTTTTTTTTTTAAATCTGTGTCGCCCACTTTAAACAAACAAAGCAGCGCAGGGACAGTTAAGAAGCTGCATTATGAATGTACTGATGATGAGTGTTGTATATTTGGAGGCGTCGTCATTCAGGTCACAGATGTTGTACCGATCTGAATTTGATCGCTGTTCCTTCTTTGTGTCTCTCCAGGTTTATGCATGTAAAAGAATTGGCTCAGCTCTGCCAACCCTCTCTTCTCACATCCCACTGTGTTGCTCCACAACCACCACATTTGCCTGCTGTCCTCAACCCATGGAGAGTACACGCCCACCCAGATAGGATGCCGGCTTCGTCCGACGCGCTGCGTCCCCTCCTGCCCGTCGCCACCACCTCCTTCTCCTTACGTGTACCTGCTCTTGCCGACGGCTCCTCCCAGCCCTTCAGGCCGCGCCCTGCCCCGCACCAACATGGTGGATGAGATGACCACTATGAAGGATGACGTCATCAATGCCAACACGCTGGCTTGGCTGGTCTGCTCGGGCGTGTCCATCCTGGCTAACACTTGGAGCATTCTTAGCGTCAGTGCTAAGCAGAAGAAGTGGAAACCGCTGGAGTTCCTCATCTGCACCCTGGCAGGGACGCACATTCTCAACATGGCCATCCCCATCACCATGTACTGCGTCATAACGCTGCGGCGGCAGCACTCTAACTACGAGTGGAACGAGGGTCTGTGCAAGGTGTTTGTCTCTACCTTTTACACGCTAACACTGGTCACCTGCTTCTCGGTCACCTCGCTCTCCTATCACCGCATGTGGATGGTCCGCTGGCCGGTGAACTACAGGTATGACATTTAATTATGATGCCCTACGACTGTTTCAGATTAAACCAATGTCATAACACAAATTAAAAGACTAGCTCCTGTTTTTCATATTATAGATAAATCGACCAGTTGTTGTTCTCTCCTTTTTTTAAATTGCCCTTTATGGAGAGCTCCACTTGTTCCCTCTGGGGAACAAGTGGAGCTATTATTGGAGCTATTATTGGAGCTATTATTGGAGCTATTCCCCACAGAAGACATGGTTGCCATGAAAACTATGTTTGGAGTATTCGCCGACATGATGAGAGTGAGAATACATATGGTGGGTGGGCCATTATTCAAGGCACATGGTCATGTTTTTTTTGCACAAAGGAACTCTTGCACAGGACATTTCTCTTTAGTCTTTGGTTTAACTGCGTAAATATTGTCAGCATTCTTGTGGCATTAATCTGTCTGGTGCTCTACAAAGGCGCCACATATCCTCTGACCACAACCAGCAGGAAAGGTGGGTTGTACTGTCTTGATTTAATGACTAAGACAAACAGAGCAGGGATACAACCAGCAACCTACTGGTTAAATGACCAACTGCTACATCTCCATATATTTGATTTATCAAACAAACGTATCGATTGGAGAAATAATGTTAGTGAGAGCACAAATAGAAGCTACAAATTGTTTCTGCGGCTGATTCTTGTTAGTTTTCTGTAAAGTCACTTCTCTCCTCAGGTTTTCATAAACAATTCAACATGAACTTCCACGATTCTAAATTGTTACACAAAACCCATAACAAACATCTGTCTTTTATTTTCCCCTGTTTGAGGACAAAAATAACTCTGAATAACGTGCTGCTACGCGTGCAGCAGGCTGCGCACCGACAGCAGATTCAGTCAGAAATAATCAACAGCTCCCACAGACAGACATGATACCTGTATCATGGAAATCAGTCAAATATCTGATCCTGTTAGTATCACTCGAGCACTGGAACTGGGCTGGATCAGTCCGATCTCTACGTGTAAGCATTCATACAAAATATCTTCAAACGATAATTATTAAACAAGATAGTGATAAACTTTACAATCTAACCATAGACCCAAAGAAGCAAATCTCAGAAGATAAGGTGTCATTCAGGTCAGAAATGTTAGATTTTTGCCGCGGGTTTCTAACCCAGACAGATTTGTGCCATCTGTCAGCCTGTGTACAGTTTGCGAGTGGGAAGGATCGCATCAGGTGAAATCTCTTTCCTGCCAGCATGTTAGCTGGTTGCAGTTATTTGAGGTAACACCGTGTCAGACTGTCTGAACAGCCAGTATCTGCCAGCTCTAGTTTCCACCTTCACTTGGTTCTCTCACAACATATGATATTAACAAGAAACGGTGAATAATAATAAAACCGAGGTTCACCACACTTTAACAGCTTTAGCACTATTTTTGTCTTGTGAGACCTCCCGGGACGTCTGGTGTTCACACCGAGTCACATGCTTTAAACAGGATCGTGTCTTTATTATATCAGCACTGGAGTGCTGCACTAAAATAAGAAGCTGATTTAATAGAACGGCTAGGTTTATTTTTAACAACTTTTAACAACAATTTTGAGTACATGATAATGAAAAGGTGTGTAGTTTGTAAACTGTACACCTTTGCATCCCAGAGGTCTCATCTTTAGTCTAATTCAGCTTTTACTCAACGTTTGCATATCTCAGCCTTATAACATTCTGTCAAAAGATTTTCCAACATAAGGTAAAGGCTAAATAAAAACAGGTTGTAGTTGAGTGTTATTCTACAGATGCATAGTGCATATTGTGTCCTCCTGAAGGCCTAACCATGGTGCATCTGGTAAAGAGCAGCATTATGTTGGCTCCCTTTTCTTCCCTGCTGGAAAACTGAGTGATTGCACTGCCAATGGCATCAACCCTACAGATGCTCGGTCTACGGTCAGCTTGGCAAGTTTTGCACACAAGCAGCTGCTCAAAAAAAAAAAGAAAAAAAAAAAGTGCTCGCTCTTGCTCTCTGTATTACCCGTTCCGTTACCACTATTGACTAACACACACATATACACAGACATGTGGCTTTGCACAAAATGATTTAATTTTTTTACTTTCTCATCTTTATCTGTCCCCTCTCCAGATCTTCTTCTTGTTTTTTAAGTTAGTTTCAACAATGATATGGAGGAAGCAAAGTTCCAGACTCGGGCTGTGTAATTAGTGTTCATCTTTCTTTTAAATTGCTTCCCATTCATCCCGCTGAGCTGCCTTTTCCCTGACATTAACATACGCCGAAGCCCTGAATTATGAGTTCCAGCTTTGTGTTTAGGGAGGTATTCTCATCACCCTGCGCTCACTATCTCATGTAAGTTATTTTCCTCGCTCAGTCTGGTAATAGATTCATGCAGCTTGGTGACGTAACCTCCCCCATGTACCCCGGGCACATTCAGGAAAGGCTAGCATTACTCACTGTGACAACAAGATCTACTTGTGTTTGCAAAAAAAAAAAAAAAAAAAAAACCCACAGGGGAAAAAGGCAACTGCTGCCCCTTCTGTGTTATTTATGTTGCCACAGTGCGCATAGACTAAACAGGTTTTAAATATTTTTAAAATCACATTTTAACCTGATAAGAATGAAATGTATCTTCAGACGTAAAGGCCACGTTTGCTCTTAATTCCTTTGGAGAGGCTGATGTGGCGTTCGGCTGAAAGAGCTTAAAGAGAAAAGAGTTTACTCTAATTAGATATATGAGGCAGAAGAAATACCTTACTTCAGCCAGGGCATTTTAAAAAATCAATTTATAAAGCAAGTGTTTTATGAACTGAAGTGGTGATGTAAATAAATAGATCAAAGGTTAGTTCTAGCCTTGGCATCTGTTCCTTATGTAAATTAGTTGATTTTCTACTGTGTTTATTAGACAGTGGACATTATATACAGCTCAGAATAAACATAACCTCTAAAAATCTGTAATTTTTAGACTGTTGCACCACTTATTAGCAGTAAAAATAGTACAAGTCACAAGTGGTAAAATCCACTGTCAGAATATTGTGATATATTCTCAGTTTTCATCAAGCTTTCACCTGCAGTCAACCAACGTAATGTTTTCTCTTTAAGAACTAGTCTATCAATATTTCCAAAGTCTACATGTTCCATAACAGAGATTGAAAGTTCAACAGAATAATGCAGAGCATCTTTGCTGTAATCATTTTAGCCTTCCTGTTATCTGCTAAAAGTCTCACTTTCTCTTTCTCCCTCACATCCAGAATGAACTGCATCTTTATTACGTAACTGCAAATTGTTTTCTTTTCATATCTTCTTACATCCCGGCTGACTTAATTTTTAAATATCCTACTGAAACTGGAAATATCTAATTGCGGACCTTCTTCACTTTGTAACATCAGTCATCATCTGGAAAAAGATTAAATGTTTAAGATTCGGATGTGTTGATCAAAGCCAATGAAGCTTCTCCAAACCCCACGTAGTTCCTCGGTTCATGCAATGAAAAGCTCTCATTCGGTTTTGTACATTCGCCTAAATTGCTTAACGGCAAGAATTGTGAAAAATATTTAAATACAAAATTTTTGAATGGCTAATATCAGCAGCAACTCACCTAGAAAAATACAACCTTAACACTTTTCCTGGGCCCTGTTTTGTTTCTTAATGACAGATTAATTCTGACTGAGCAAAGCAAATGAGCTTCCTGTCTTTTATCTCCTCTCTCCTCTTAAACTCCAAGTCAATCTGCCTTTATGTGAAATGTGAAAGTGGGAATTGAGGAGCTCCTGCTGTTTTAATTTGTGGTTGATAGCAAATTTAAACACGCGGTGTCAGAACGTCATTTGGACTTGCCAGGGTTCTACTTTGTAGCTTGTATCTGTTGTCTCAGGGCTCAAGCTAGATGTGAATCTGTCTCATCGATATTGAACAGCAACAATGATCATAAATAATTCACAACGGGTGAAATAATAAGGGAAAATAAAAGTTTGTGTGAGGAAAACTATTTTTATAAGTTTGCCAAGTGTTAGCTGCTTTAAACCAATTAAGGTCCTTTATCAAAAAAGAGATTTCTAAAAGGCTGTTAAAGTTTCCAAATCTCGCATTTCACATAAGAAAAAGCAGGATAAAATGGAGTAACTTTGCGTTAAAATGTTCAAATTTCCTGTTATCTGTAGACTTTCTAAATGTTTCGTAGTCAAAAATCAGCTATTTCCAGTCACCTATTGATTCCTTGTTCCATCTTTATATCTTTTCATACTTTTATGGTGGCACAAAGCACCATAGGGGCCATTTTGCTGCAACTATTCATGTTACAGGAGTTAAGAAGAAGCTTATGCTTCAGGATTTTCTGCTAATTCCCTGCCTGGCTCAATGCTGTTGCAAAAAAAATATTTATTGTTTTTAGGAAAATATGGAAAAATACAACACAGGTCAAACTTGACCGTAGTTTTAAGATGGATGTGTCCTCCTGCTAAGTGTGCCAATAGCCACACCACCAGAAGACAAAGACAGAGAAAAATCTTCATTGTAGCAGCGGCTTGGAGGTGAAAGGAAATGGAAATTCTCTCATGCTGAAAAAGACCCAGATGACAAATGGACCGAAGGAAACTATCATCAAAAAATCGATTTCCTTCCACTTTCTTCTCTGCTTTGTCCAGGCCATAACTGTTTTTGATGCGGTGCTTTTTCAAACAGATCTTCAGTTTTAGAATCTTAAATGTATATTTGAATAATGAATGTTTCATTTATATTCCTGTCCACCATGAAGAGTTTTTCCCCCTTGCGCGTTTAATGTTGTGCGCAATTTATTATTCTTTTGTTGCCGTCCTGAGGTTCCCTGCGTTGAACCTTTTTGAAAAAACTCGTCTACTTACTTGGTCACACACCTGTTAAAACGTGAGGATTGGTGATTTGGAGGAGAGATCATGATAAATATTTCAATTGGTTCTTGAAACACCTTCTCAATGTTGACATTTAATTTACTTTGGTGGGAAGATGTTATTTTTCCTGTCTTGACAATATTTTGACAATATTCTTCATGGATACATTGTCATAATAAATCAGAACATGAGGACATAATTGATCATATGTAGCAGCCCTCTGAAGGAGAATCAATGGATTTTTAATTGTCAGACTTTGCTGAACTTGGCCACAGCCGTTTCACATTTTCTTCTCATTAAGTCGCTCTTTTATCGACTTGGATGTACACCGGGCGTTACAGTGAGGCTGATTTGCAATATGTTTTGTAGAGAAAAGAACATTTTGAGTCAATTCTGACTGGTATTTGCTTCACACAACATCTAGTTTTCTCTATTGTCCCTGTTGCCGTACATTTTCTCCATTTATCAGCGGCTGTCTTTCTTGTTGATAGAAAGTGCTTGCATAATGCTGTGGACTGTTTCTGCACCCTAGATTTGAATGATGTTTGCTTTTCAGCAAAAATACAGCTTCGGCCAAGAAAGAAAATGAACAGATGTCTGGAACGTCTCGCGAGGACAGCTGAACTTTGTTAGTTTACTCAGGTTCACCTTAGTTGACGGCAAGTATGAACTCAAGAAGCCTGAGAGTTGAAACTGAATGAAAGGTGCTTCATCAAAATGCTAGATTAATGGTGTTCACACTTAAGCAAACGGGTGATTGATCAGCCTTCCATTTGATTGAGGTTAAATGTGATATTAAATATGAAATAAGTTACAAATAATTTATCAAAGTCTAACATGTTAGCAGGGTTCTGTGCACCTTTGTCAGCTTTCCAGCCGTTTACATTCCAGTTGCATACGGTAACTGTGGTAAAGTTTCCGCAGGAATACCTCTGAGATTTCGCTGAGAAGACGAGGCTCACAGGCTTTAAACTAATAAGCTGCAGGACTTACGGAGCAGAACATAAAGCAACGGCCAATTTAAGCTGAAGCCCTGACAGCTTCGCCGAATTGAAACAAAAATTCTTTGCTTGTGCTTCCAGGTTGAGTAACACCAAAAAGCAGGCAGTTCACACAGTGATGGGCATCTGGATGGTGTCCTTCATCCTGTCCACGCTCCCAGCAGTGGGCTGGCACGACACAATCGATCGCTTCTACACCTCCGACTGCAGATTCATTGTGACAGAGATCGGCCTGGGCTTCGGCGTGTGCTTCCTGCTGCTCATCGGCGGCAGCGTGGCCATGGGCGTGATCTGCATCGGCATTGCTCTCTTCCAGACCTTCTCCATTCAGGCGGGCCACAACGCCGACAAGAACAAGTTCAACGTCCCGACCATCGTGGTGGAGGATGCTCAGGGGAAGCGCAGGTCATCCATTGACGGATCAGAGCCTCTCAAGACTTCGCTGCAGATCACTTACCTGATCAGTGGCATCGTCTTCATCTACGACTTCCTGACTGGCTTCCCCATACTGGTGAGTTTATTGTAGGCAGTGGCCGAAAGTGTTAGATGGTCAAATTTGAGCGCTCAATGGAAAATGGAGTCGTGTTAGTCAGGGAGACTAAACAAAGAGAAAATTTGGCTTTGGACGCTATTACTCCACGATTTGCAAGAATGGTTTAGATTTATGAAATTCAATAAATGTGACATCACACTGCACGGTATCGGAAGTCGTGGATTTCAAGAAACGGGAAAAACAGCCGGACATATTTCCTCTCGCATATCCCTTATTTTTATCTGTCAAACCATCTCTTCCAGGTTTGTTTTTTAAAGCACTTTTATTATATATGAAGAGATTGTGACTCTACTTATGCAATCTTGGGTAATGTTGAGTTAAAGTATGCCTGAATCTTGAGTGAAGGAGTTAATAGTCTTTCACATCTCCCCTTTTCTAAAGATATTTAAAGTTCTCAAAGTTGGATGTTTTCTTCTTTTTTTCATATATCCACAATGAACCAGCTTTGCTGATTAAAGCAAGTTAGTTACAAGTTTGGTAAATTAACTTCCCAACAGTAATTTTTTTTTTTTTAACAATAAAAGCTGCAGAAGGCACATGGATCTAGTCAGTTTATATGCTGCCTAGGTTATGTCTGTCTGCGTATGCCATCTGCTGAATATTTTTTATAATCCGTAAAGCTTTCTAAAATCACATGAACCAAAACAATGTTTCACAAAGAGGACATGAATATTTGTTCCTGTATATTCAGAAGAAATACTGCTGTGATTCCCTTTTTAAGAACGTACTAATTACCTGTTAAGTAAATAAGCATTGAAATGAGTTATCGTTGTAATCAGATATCAGTTTATCTGAAGCTTCTCATTCTTGAATTATTCTTCCTCTGCTTCACGTGTACATTTTGTGAAGATTATTCGTATTTTGGCAACTTTGGATTTTGGAGATTTTGAATTATTTTCTCTTGTTAAGTTGTAATTTTAGCGTAAAACCAGAACAGTTCATTGCTAAATTTTCTGCCATGCGTCTCCTGTGGTCCTCTAAGTTGGAGAGGAAAAGAAAAACTCACTCAGCCAAATCAAGAGCCTCTTATTTGAACAGCTCTACATTATTTTTTATCTATTTGTATTTTCTCTAGATCTCTTCTTTTTGTTGCAATTGTCATCATGAGAAGAGGCTATACTTTTGAGTCTGTGTTGCAATTTTTTTGTGCAAGATGAAAAGCGTCCTCAGTCCATGCAGCATTACGCTGAGATAGTTTATTTCAGTGTCGGAGTTAAAAATGCCTTTTTGCTGAATTATCTTGAACATAATCCACTCCTTTTGTTAAAAAAATAATTATTACACACTTTACAACAACAACACTGCATTGTATATTGTTTCATAGAGCTGAATTACTGATGAAAGATCATGTTTCTAGTGCAGCAAACGAAACGCCAAGTCTGCTGGTCCTGATCTAATGAGCTATTTAAATGCATGGAAAGCTGTTCACACACAAATATACTGCGTCTTTGTTTTGGAGTGTATGAAGTTACATGGAGTGATCCAGCCTTAGAGAGCCCAGAAACTAAACCACATGCTCGTACAATATCTGCGGGTCTAGATGGGATTTGTTTTGATGCTAAGATCAATAACTTCAGGGTTGCATGTGATAGTGATTAATGTGTATATCTGTTTGAAGTTTGGTAAAAGAATCACGCACTAAATGATTCTAAACAAATTGACATGTTTGATGAAAATTAACAGATATACTAAGCCTGTTTTCTCTATACTTGCGGTTTTTCTGCATCACTTTTTAATTCTGGCAGTACTGAGCACCTGCTAGAAATATTTTTTGTAGCTCCCAGAGGGAGCGGCCACTAGTGCAAATTGAACTCTTCGTTAACTACAAACTACAGAGTTTATAGTTGATGCTGTTGAATGAACAAAATGTTTTGCCATCTGTATTTCCTGGCTGTTTGGAGATGGGTTTGGCCAGTGATACAACACCATGAGCTGCTGTTGCAGTCAGTGGCCTCTGTTCAAGGTTAGCTGAGGTTTCTCAGCCTGTTGAAACAGGTTGAGTTTTAGTTGTTTTACATGAAAAGAATACTAATAATTGTCATCACCTGCAAGCTGTGATTTCTGTTGGTGTTTTTGTGTGTATCTTTTTTATATTAATGCTGAAATGAGGTGGTATCCCTTTAATGCTGATGTAAAGTGTTTGTGCTCCATTACTTCAACTATACAATCTAGTAATGTCATTATAGATGTCTGGTAAGACTGCACATTATGTCACTAGTATTTCATTGTGCAATAGTCACACCGCAAAGGACTATTTGGAGTCCTATAATTGTCGGTGATATTGTCATCACAAAATTTGCAATTATTGCCGCCAACATGCCAGACCAGAGAATGAGTACCATATGAGTATTTTCATGCAACTCCCTCAATTTCTCCCCTAAACAGTTTTCTGAATGTTGCTCCAATTGATAGCGTCATACTATTTGTGACACTAAAAGCCTAACTGCAACCTGTAAAATACTTTACTTTTTGTTCTGAAAAGGTGGTGAGCTTTGCCAGTCTGAAGTTTGACCGCTCGTATAACTGGATGGTGCTGTGTGTGCTGTGGTGCTCCATCGCTCAGTCCATTTTGCTGCCCATGTTCCTGTGGGCTTGTGACCGTTACCGGGCCGACATCCGCATGGTGTGGGAGAAGTGTGTCGCCATCATGTCCAACGACGAAGTGGATGAGGGTAAGTTATTGTAAGGCATCTCCCTTCTGCCCCGCCTCCGTTTTTCCCTCATTTGCACCTGCCCAGCTGATGATGTTTAAAGCCTTTTTTAAAATGATAACTTGTTAAATTAATGAAGGAAAGCTCTTTACGTACATGTCTAAACAGCTTTAGTCTAGAATAATCCAAAGGAAATCTTTTTTCAAATTGCTCATGACTAAAAAGAATGAAAACAGAATATTTGGTGGCAAAAATGTTAAATTATAGCACCTGTTTAGGTTAAATTATTTCTGTTCAGTCAAGAAAGGAAGGGAACATTTCTATTTATGTTATTGATTAAACGTCCTGGATTACAAGCTGATATACGACACAGTTGACAAAACTTAAAATGTTCAGCGCAGTGGCAGTGATTGTTGCTCCAGCTTGTCAGAAAAAAAGAGAACAGTCACACAGGTACTTTCTCTGCCTTGAAAAGACTTTAAACTTCAGCAACTGTTCGATGGAAAACTTCTGTGATTTTGAAGCTATTATCTCAAAATCACATATTGTAGGTTTTTTTTCTGTTTTTTTGTGTACTTTTTAAGTTAGAACATTTGCAAATATTTTTTTAAGTAGCTTTAATTACTTTTCTTTAATCTCTTCATGATCTCAAGTCACAGGTCAAGTGTTATCATGTGACCTTTGTTATGAAATAAAAACTGAAAGGACAAGTGTCTGTGTAGCTTTATAAAGTGCTTATAACTATGATGTCTGTATTTATGCTTTAAAACTGCTACAGATATATGAAGCTGCATTGCTTAACAAAGCATCTGTGTTTTTACTGTAAGGGTTTAAAATGGGTTATCCTGCAGAATAAAGGATTCCTCATTCAGTTGACAGCTTTTAGTGAAAGTGAACCAAACGCTGTTAAAATGCATATTCATGTCATTTTGATGGTCATATTTCCCTCAAGTCAGGAATAAAACAATTGGGTATTGGTTACAAATCTAAAATACATTGAATTAATGATTTTTTTAATGCTGCTTTTATGTTTGTTTTTTTTTGTTTTATTTTCTGTTGCTTTTTCTTTTGTATTTGTGCAATGATAAGTCAGCTGCTGACTGAAGTCATTTAAAGGCATACACACACGTTAAACGACACTTAGCTGATATCAGAAAGTCTCATGATACAGACGGTGCAACATACTAAACCGGTATTTAGTACTTAGTTCAACTCGATTTAATTCAGTTCAGTTCAAGTTAATTCATTTGAAATTTCCACCAAGAAAACAGACACTTCTGCAACATCTGGTTCTAAAATGAGGTCACATGATAATCATGCAGCAGGTAGAAACATGAACTCTGCTAAAATGTTTCTCCCCGTTTTTGTTTAAACTCAACCCCATCCGAACCCCTCCTGCCCCGTTTCTAATCCTCCAGACCTTCCGACCCTTTTTCTCTTTTTGACGCCTTTCCTCAGAGCTGAAAATTGTCCAAAGGGTGCCATTAAAAAAACACAGGGCAGTTCATATTCTGTGTGATAATTAACACTCCCAGTTCTCTGTTTTGTTTTGTTTTTCTTTTTTTTCCAGAGGGCTTGCCATGTATAACTCATCACAGTTGTATGTATAAGAACTGTTTCCTGTTTCCCAAAGCTACTAACTTTGCATGCAAAGCTGCCTGTGCAAATAGCAACTTTCATCCTCCATCCATTTGGCCAACATTTATCCTCAAGATCATTTTATACCCATCTTCAGTTGATTTGTTGTGAACATAAAGCCAGTTATTGTGTTAGAATAATAATAATAATAATAATAATAATAATAATAATAATAAAGATTTAAAAAATTGCAACAATTCTGGTTTTGGTTTTGAATTTCACAAGCAATTCCTTGGCTATCTCTGCTTGGTTCTTTGCTTATGGCTTACATTCCTGAGAACACACATAGGAGGAGTCAACAAATCAGAGAACGATTGAACTTGTTTCTCCTTTCTATTCGTCTGTCTGTCTGTCTGTCTTGTGTATGGAGTTCGTTGCTCTCTAATCCTGATGCTCGTGCTTTTCTGCACTTTGCAGAAAACAGCCAAGATGGAGGAATTCATGCCGACTTAATATATGACAGACCATATGACTATAGCTCGGCGCCTGAAATCGTGACGATAGACCGTAATGCCAAGTTTGAGTTCTCAACCTTAGAAAGGGGGGTTCTGCAAGGGTATCCATTGAGGGAACAACAGGAAGATAAAATGCAGTATTTGCAGGTATATTTATTGATTTCCTTCATTTCTTTTTTTTTTTAATCAGTTGAATTACTTTATTATTGAATGCATGGTGAAGTGGCCTTGTATGCCTTTGCAGCAGCTTGATTGAAATGGTAATAATTGTGATGCTTTCTCTCTGATTTGCAGCAGGTTTTTTTTTTTGGCCTTTTTTTGTTTTGTTTTCCTAGGGTGAATCTAAAATTCTCTCAGGCTGACTAATGTTTGGTAAATATGACCATCAGTAGTCCCATCAATACATTAACTGTGCTTCATTTACCAAGTACTATGTCCTCGTCACGAACTTACAAACATTACAATAGTGTGGAAGAGGGTAAGAGTGTAGTAACTGACTTACCTTTTACATTTCAGGATTTTCCTCAAGCGATATAAACGTCTGCTCATGTTCTGCTAAAAAAATAATGAAAAATAGCATTGTGTTCATTCAATCCAGCTTCCATCCCAGTCAGATGAAGAGCTGTGAAAAAGCTCGTTCTCAACCTGCATCTGCAATAAAGCTGGAACTTGCAGCCTTCCAGGACAGTTCAACAATTCAGAATGAAAATATGTGCTTTGTTTCAGACATTGGCTCCATTTTGAAAATAGCCTTTTACCCTCTCTGATTCCGTATTACCTTAACGTGGTTTAAAGTAATCATAGTTTGAACTGTCCTAAAAGACTGTAGTGGGGATATGTAATGCCAAAGTCAGCAATTCCCAACCATGCAATATTACCTCTTACAAAGCATCCGACAGTAGTACTGTGTCATCTTTGTGTTATTCAGTAAAAATGGAAAAAAAAAAAAGAGTATCATGAGGTCCATTTTATACGTATCCATTCTGCAAATCAATTTCTTTAAATTGGCCCAACACATCAGATGTCCAACATAAAAGATGGACACTTCAAACGCAACATTTAATGTGTTTCTAACTTAACTGTGGTTAAGACGTCATCAAACAGAGATGTATACAGTAGCCATCACTCCATTATACCAACTCGGTGCCCCCGTCCATCATCTTTTGTCCTTTGTTTACATCACTAGGTCTATTTTTGCTGTGTAGTTGTATTAGACTGTGTTGATCTTTGTGTGTGCCTGCAAAAATAAAAGAAAAACATAAACTTGTTTCAGTTACAGGATGACTGACTGAACTTTGACTCAATCAACTATATTAAGTTGTTTCCGAAGTAGATCAAGTGTGACATATGTCTGCAAATCCTTCTGATTTCAATTAAATGTCGCCTGAGCTTCACAACTTGCAAGGTGTCTGATTAGCAGAAATAAAGCCTGTTTGGCTTTATTTGCTCTGTGTCCATGTTTCCCTGTCCGCCCTGCATCTTCACTCATTCTAAAGCTTATGCTGCCCTCTGCTGTCCAGCTCTCTCACCTTTAGAGTTCAATGCTACTGTATCGTCTGCTGTTTAATTCTCTGCATTTACTGAAAGACGCCACAGGGGGGCAGACTGATATCAGTCTTGAGGCTCTTGACGTCATCCTGACAAACCCACTGTCTTTGAATAGTTGTCAGAACACAATGTGAGTATAACAAGTAGGAAACCTTTATAAGATAAGATCATAGAAATAGAATAACTCTTTGCTAAAAGTTTCTCTTAAGACGAGGAAATAGAAGCTTGAAATTGCTGCATGTGGGATTTAATTTTGAGTCAGGGCGCTATGCAGAATCTAAGCTGTTTATGCTTCATTCTTTTCCTCCACTGACCACAGTAAAACGGCCTCTAGCAATTGAATTAGCACTAATAAAAATCTAAATCTTGCACTAAATCTTTACGTAAAGCTGATAAATCCTACATGTATAAAACTATATTATTGAAGAGGATGATAACGGTACATAGCATGTTTGCCATATTTTTTTGTAGCCACTTTTTTTTAATATTTCATCCATTTTAATGTCTCAATCTTTATTATGAAGGGTTTGTTTTGTGTCTTCCCTCCAGGTGCCCCCTACAAGAAGATACTCCCACGACGAAACAGACATGTGGACCAGCGACCAGATCCCCTCATACCTGCATCGATGGGGCTCCACCGAGGACGTGATAGTGGCTGCCCACTACAGCTCCACCTTGCCGCGCCGCGAGAGGCGCAGGAGCAGCCTGGTCTCCTACCACGAGGAGAGCCACTATCATCACCACCCTCACCGCAAGCGGCGGCGATCTGAGGACAGCATGCACTCCCTCAGGCACCTGCCCCGCATCGTGTGCGGCGGGGAGCACTACGAGGACGAGCTGCGGTGCTTCAGCCGCGACGAGGTGATTAACTTTATAGACGAGACTCCCGTGCCGAGCCCCCGGAGGAGCCCGCGCCGCACGTCCACCGTCTCCCTCATCCCCAACGTGTACGAGCAGCACGCCATCATCCTTCCCCACTTCCCACTCACAGACTTTGAGCGGGAGCCTCAGGCGCTCAGGCGGACCTCGGAGCACAAGAGGAGCAGCAGCAGCAGGGGCAACTCGCCAGAGGGCTCCCCCAAACCGGACCGGTCCCCTGGTAAGACGAGCCACGGGGCTTGCGGCTCGGGGAAGGGCTGCAGTAAAGGCCAGCGTGACGGGGGACAGCAGGACGGAGGGGGCTCACCCCGACGCAGAGAGAGGACTGCAGGGCGCTCTGGCAGCAGGCACAGGACAGGTGAAGGTGCCGTGTCCAACGCCGGAGCAGACTGGCTGAAGCAGAAGCACCTCAGCAAGGCTGAGAGTAAAGGCAGCACAAACAGTTTCCTAAGCACACCTTCAGCGTCGTCCTCGGGATACATTACCTTTCACTCTGATTCTGTTGGCTCCACCACCTGAAGCAAAGCACCCACGTTGATATAAATATTAGGACCTAATATCTAATTGAAAACCTCAGTGGGTTAAGAGAAGTGACAGGCTGGAACATATCGACCTTTTTACTTGTGCCATTATTCAGTTTTCTTACCTACCAGAGATAATCGTCTGCTAATCCTAGACGGCCTTAGGAACTTTGAACCTATTTTTTTGACTGGGCCTTGATTTCATGTGTGGGCTGAAATCAATATTGATCAATCCAGCTGTTTATCTGTCACAACGCAAAATCTCCAGTGACAAACACTTTTCCGCCAGCACTGACACAAAGGAACTGTTTTTAGTTGGTGTGATCATTCCTGAACCTTGTTTCTGTCGTTTGGCTCTTATAGGAGGATAAAAATATTTTCATGTGCATTGGTAAGGATGTGTTTTTTTATTATTATGTTTTCTTTTGTCTTCTTTTAAAATCTTGAACTTGAGTTGTGTTTTATTTGGCCTGTAATGTGTTTTTGTTGTGTGGTACGAACACAAGCTTTCCTGAACGCAGCACATTTTCCTTCAGCTTTGCTTCAGTGCAGGAGTCATTTCAACTTCTTTCATTTTTAAATTACCAGTCACCACATAAAACCTTTTTATAAAACATTTTTCACATAAAATGGAAAATGAGTTTTAATCCCACTCCATCATTTGCCTAATTAATGGTTTCTGTGATCTTTTGAAAACGTGAAGCCCCATCCTTTATTTAAAAAAAAGAAAGAAAAAAAGAGTTATTTTTAAAATATGTAAATATGGAAAAATATTGGATATTTATGTTTTTGGGAATTTCTGTTTATATGAAATCTTTCCTCCCAAAGGTTTATCTTTCTTGACTTTGGTGATAATGAGGCACAGATGTAGCTCATTACAAAACAAACAGCTTTTAAGACAAATATGCAAGTCGTGTTTTCTACTCCCCCTGCTGACCCTCGATAATCTGACTTCACACTACGCTTTGGTTCAGATGCACTGTACATTTAGTTATTTCACATAAAGCACAAATTATGAACCATAAATTGGAACTACAATTCAACTTATAAGTGACCTGGTTCTCCTGGGCGACATGTGAAAATGAATGGGCTTTGGAAGGTTTTGTTTATTTTGCTTAATTGACCGGGCTCTGCAAAAATAAAGTGAAGATTAAATCTGAGTAAACCCCTGTAATTCTTTAGAGGGATGTTGTAGCGCCTTGCGGAGGCTATCCCTAGAGATGTCTCACATTTTATCTCATTAAAACCACAAACCTCAGTGTATTTTATTATTTTATGAAAGACCAACAGAAAGGCCAAACATGTGAAGATTTTTTTTTTTTCCTGGACTGCCCTGTTTTTAGCACCAGGCTTCTTGAGGTAAAACACTCCCACAGCATAAAGCCGCCACCGTAACGTTTCACTGTGAAGATTGTGTGTTCAGCAGAACATGACGTGTTAAATATCTAATTAGTTCCCATCTGAACAAGACTTTATTTAGACACTACTGTTGTTCTTCTCAATCTGCAGTCTTCTTCTGAACGCAGCTAGTTGCACTGGATTTTACTTACGGGTGTCGGAGTATTAAGGGGCCTGAAATGCAAACCAAATTTTTTAGATTATAATTCATGTAACAGAAATTTAAAAAAATGTGAGTCAACGTCCATCCATTTAACATTTACGCACTACTTTGTGTTGATCTGTTAGACAAAATTTTATAAAACTAAGTTTACTGCTGTGGTTGTAATGTGGTAAAGTATCTTTAAAAATCCTCCAGGGGTAGGAATACTTTCACAAGTGACTTGAAGATCTGCATTTCTTATCTTGAATTCAAATTTTCAGAAAGTAAAATGCACAATAATTTCTAACATAGCAGCAACTTTACTAAATATCGACCATGTGTTTCTGCACAAATTCCAAATAAATCAACAAACTACATTTCATCTCTTCCAGAGTGATAATTTGCTAAAGTAATGCAATGAAGACGGTAAGCAGGAGATACAATCGGGAGCTTTGAGTGCTTGTGGATAGTAACTGTGAATGTGAATGTATTTGCACTAATAAAGTGCAGCTTATTAAGTAGGCATGAAGAACTGAAATGATCCCCTTTTGCACCTTTATTTGTCATAAAATTAGTTTTTTGTTTTACTATCACCGTCCAAATGAATAAAGTAGCACTTATTGGGCATTTATGCTTGGCGTCATCCCTTTTTTTTTTTTTTAACAGCTTAGTTTAAATTTTGCGTGTTTCTTACCGATTTCAGGATATTCAAACAACTTTGCTTAAACATGTTTTCCTTTCTGGAAGCAAATCACCTCGCACAGTCATATTTTGCTGTGGTTTAGGTATATATACATTTTTTTTCATTCCGTTGTATTTACAATATTAAACATTTTTTGTGACCTATTCAAAGGTTTATTACTCAAATACGAATGACGTTAAATGTTAGTTTTTTTTGTTGAGTTGATGACTTTGTTAACATAATATGACTGATTAAATTCACATGAAAACACCTGAGTTTGTGTGTAGAATCGTTCTGGTGTGTGTTCACCGGATAATCTGATGATTAGTGTCTGCTTTCTAAAACCTGGATAAACATGAAATCTTGTAGTGCTTTAAACCCTGGGGGAATAAGGGACGTCTTATTTTTTAGCTGTTTTAGGTAAATATCTTTAATAATTTTATTGTATGGATGAGTTATAAACCCTGTGTCGCCATTACCCGTCGTGATATGTCGGCTCCTAAATCTGCACCTTCAAGGGCATCGTTTATCCGCATCAGGCCACAGAAAGGAGCGTCTGGAGCGCACTTCATCCACGTCTGGCCCGTTAATTCCACCCGGCTGACCTCAGTCTCATGCTAATGGAGGATTCTCTGCCTCCCTTCAGTTCTCATGTGCGTCCCTATTCTGGTGGAGCAAACTTGGAGAGTGAAACAATGTGTGGAAGAGTTCATAGAAGTCCTTAGAAAAAGTTGAAGTGCATTCAGTGCGCTCGTCACGTGATGCTCCCCTTTATCGCATTAAACAAACTTTCCTTGTGTCTCTGGCCCCCAGAGGTCTTGTTAGCAGAGCAGCTTTGACTTTGATGATGCGAGCTTTCCAGGCTGAGTTTTTAGGGGACGAACCAACCAAGCAAAGGGTTAGAACGACCGATATGAAATGACAATTACATTTCAACATTTTGGTTTGAAATAGCTGCTTCTACTTTTCCATGTCCTGTTTTATTAGGAACAAGCTTCGTGTGGGAGGCAGATGCGTTATTTCAGTTTGCGCCATTTGAAAGAGCTTGTGGGCGTTTCTGCGATTCACCTCGCTGTAAGGTGCCATCCTTCCCAGGATAGAGAGACGCCATATGACAGCCAGGTGTTCTGACCATAGACATGTCTGAGTGCGCTGATGGCCATGAATCACCCATCAGATACCGTTCCCCCTATTTTAAAGGGGGGAACGGTATTTGATGGGTGTACACAATTCCCGACAGGAGAGGGTCTTCCTTTTACAGTTCTTGTCAGATGTGATTAAAAAAAAAATGAATTCCTGAAGGCATGTTCTACCTCCCATATGGGCCCCTTCTAAGCCTGGGCTAGGGGCCTGCTGCAACCCTCACCCTACCTGTAGCTCCTCCCCTGATGTGATGTCACAAATATGTTACAATTGTGGGAGGAACTGTCTGATGTTGATTTCTAAATCAACACCAGACTGAGTTACTGTTGGTGTTAATTTAGAAATCAACACTGAACAGGATTGCTTTTATTTAACTCTTTGGAACTTTTTAGGGAAACTAACACCCATGTTGCTGAATTAGACTAAACAAGTGTTGAATTAACATATAACACACTGCAAATACACTTTTGAATTTGCTGTGTATCAAACTTTTGTCTACTTGTAAAAGCAACTTATAGTCCACACATTACTGACTTGTTCCGCTCTTAGTTTTAAAATGTTGATCTTACTCAAGGTGCAACCTAATCTGAGGGATATAGGCGTCATTGTCCTCCTGCAGCCACTGTCTCCAGCTCCTGCGGACTTTAATGAAGGATCCTGGCGTGTAATTCGCAGCTTATAGCAGAAAATCGCCACGCTGTCCGACAAGCGTCCGATTTCTCCGCTCCTGTTTCGGTACTTATGCGTGAAAGTGGAGAAGAATGAAGCGGAGGTCCACGTCCGATGCATTTCATGTCATACTTTTGGGAAGGGGAAAAAAAAGTGAATGCTCGACAAAGACAAGAGAAGGAAAGAAAAAGCTCCAGAAGAGCTGTGAAAGTAAATGAAAACTTTGAAACTGTGAATTTTGATGATGTTTTCCAATATCCTGATCTTAGTGGATTTCTTTCTGTTTTCTATACCTCACACCTCTTTTTAAAATAATCTTTATATTTTAATTCATTTTGTGACACAACTGTTTTTCGTATTTTTATTTAATTAGTCTCGATCCCGGTTTTGTTCCAGTTTCAGGACATTTTTCAGTTTCATATGCAACATTTGGCGGATCACTGTAAAAATCCATTTCGGAGGGTCTTATCTAAATCTTAATCAAGTATGTTATCTTGAAATGGTTCCGCACTAGATGCTGCTTTCTTTACAAATAAATAAATAATACCTATATTAGTTATATCATGAATGAAAACATCACCTTAGTAAAAGTCAAAAACTGTCATAAGACTTCAGCGTCAATTTGTTGAAACTTAAGCTTGGATCTAGTTTTAAGTGATAGTTTAAGTTTAGATCCACCTTAAAGAGTGATAATTATATTAAAGCCAAACTGTCTTGAAGCTGAGTGTTGTCATTGTCAGTGAGCGGCACATTTTAGCTGCGACTCTCAAAATAGGCTTCTGCCAAAAGGCCAAATAGTTGTATTACTATTTACTATTTCAGAAACTTTTTATGTTTTAATAACAAATCAGTTCTTTGTTTGTTTGTTTGTTACAACAAACAGGAAAACAAATTTAATGATTATTTTGAATTTAATGTAATTAGGAATTGGAAACCATTTTGGGTGTCTTATAGGTGATAAATTACAGTTACATGAAATTGTTTTTTTGTTTGTTTGTTTTTTAAGCTATTTTCCACGATAAACTAAAAACAGCATAATCAAAAAACAAACAAAAACAAATGACGTTTGGACAAAGTTTCACCATTTTTCTCTTCTTATTTCCAAGTTCCATGAACAACTCAGTCAATATTTTGACAGTTTTATTAATAAAATAATACATAAGTGAGCTTAATAACACAGTGGTGAAAGTCTACAGTGCAATGATAAACATTCAGTGAGTGGGTTTCCCATCAGCTTCACCAGGGCCGCCACACATTGCGCTCCGCGTTCCCAGCTTCAAGCCGCTGACTGGCGCACTCAAGGTTCCGGTGACGGCTGCTTTGCGTCTCTATGCTTCCCGTGGGAGCTTTCTGCGCAAAAACACGGGTCTGTTTGGCGTCAGATAATTTGTTCGTGTCTTCCATGGCTAAAGAAGAGGCCGTGTGAGCCGTTCGGGGTGTCGGTATTACAGATCTGGTCGGGTTCCTCTCTCCTTCGTGTCCATTTGCGCTCGGCAGCCGAAGCCTCCCCGCCTTCTCCTCCTCCTTCTCCTTCTCCTCCTCCGCCTCCGCCGCCTCAGGTTGGCTCGGGTCGCTGTCCGTGGTGCTGGACGCTTCACTTCTCCGCCAAGAGCGACACAGCTTGTTAGACAGTTGCGACATCATCCAGCGCTCACTCCCGTTCAGGTGATCAGCCAGCAGCAGGTACTGGTTGACGTTTGCCAGGCAGTTCCGGAAGCCCAGCTGGTAATCAGGAAACTCAGAAGCACCGGCGGAAACTGCAGCGAATATCGAGGGGGAAAGAAAAGATAACTTATAGAGAAACACGTCTTGCTGCTTTAATGACTCAGATTAAGTTAGCAACTCACTGCTCTGAATCTTTTGGAGGTTCCTCAGATGTTTCACCGTGAGCTCCAAGATGTCGGCTTTCTCCAGCTTGCGCTTTCGAATCTGAGAAACAGTTTGATAGAAACGATCACATTTGGATCACTCGGGTAAAGTTACATCTTTTAAAAGTCCAGACATGCCGTCTGCACTCACACTGCTGCTGTAGTAGCTCTCCAGAAGCGACTTCAGCTCGTCCAGACACTGGTTTATCCGCGCTCTTCGCTTCTTCTCCATGAGAGGTTTTGAAACCTGTAAAAAGGTCAGGCTTAGATTAATTTCTTTTCTTTTCTCCCCCCCCCCCCCTCCATTGAGTTTCGTTACATCTGTACCTTGCTTCCGGGTTTGCCCTTTTCACCACATTCTGATGTTGCCACCATTCTTTTTTTTTCTTTTCTTTTTTTAAGTCCAGATTTTGATTTACTCTGCTTGAAGTTAATTTCTTTCCCTCTCCGCTGCCCTGAGCGGAGAATCCGGGGAAGCTTTTTATAGGAGCACCCACTTAACATGTCAATACAAACCATCCCGCCTGTCTCCTGCGCTCAAATGAACATCAATGGCGTCATTCACCAGCGTAAGCCAACCACCACTGCAGACCAACACAAGAACAGCAAGCATTTTAAAAACTGTTTTAATTTGAAGGCATTGTCTATATTTAACTTTATTGTTTGTTTGTTTTTTTCCTCGCTCCACATTCGGAGTGTGTTTTGTTAGAATTGTACATGATACATAAAAACATACGATAGCTAAAGAATTAACATTAAAGCCTTTTTAAATTCATAAATGAAGATCTCAAATTGTATTCAGCTTTGTGCTGCATTCACAACCATAGGATATTCCAACGCTGAACTTCCAGAAACTGATTTTTGTTTTTGTTTCACGTGCTGAAAAAAACCTCCTCATCCCCACAACATGATGCTGCCACCACCACATTTTATAGCCAGGGTGATAGGCCATGTGAAGTTTAAGTTTTCCACCATAAACAGTGTTTTGTAAATGTAATAAAGCAGAGCGCCTTTACGCGTTTTCAAGCTGTAAACAGGTCATCTTGTGACTTTTTTTCCAAACGCGCCTTCTGTCTTTAATGTTTTTTTTTAATATATTGTTATTCATGTTTGTGGAGCACATGACTCTTCACGTCTTATGCAAGATTCAGTATTTTTGCACATAATTGCGGAGAATTTTATCCAGCAGGTTGCGCAAACTAATGGAAAACTAACACAAACTCACACGAGTAAAGCCCGAGTTTATATGAAATAGACACAGCATTTTGGATCTGTCAAACAGTTTCGGTAGCAAAACCGGTCTACAAATCTAGCAGGCAGATTGAAGGTCGGTCTACTGTATGTTTGTCTGCACACGTCCAAAAATCAACGTGTGAGGGCCCGAAAAAACAAACAAACAACAACAACAAAAAAAAAAAACAGAGAAGCGTAAAAATGATAACCATAACGAGTTGCTCTTGGAGTGCAGAGAGGGAAGTGTTGACTCTTGCATTCAGGCTTTTATGTGTGAGTTTCACGCCACCTGGTTCAAGGCAGCACCGTGATAATTCCCCACCATGTCCAGACAAGATTCTGATTTTCTGGTGCGTG